GTGCTTTTGGGTTGTTTTGTGGACATAAATAGTTGTTTTGTGTGCATTTGTGTTATCTTGTACACATGCACTTGTTTTTGTGTGCATTTGGGTTATTTTGTACACATAAACAGTTGTTTTGTGTGAATTTCAGTTATTTTGTGGACATAAATAGTTGTTTTTGTGTACATTTGGGTTATTTTGTGGACATAAATAGTTGTTTTGTGTGCATTTGGGTTATTTTGTGCACATACAGTAAATAGTTGTTTTGTGTGGATTTCGGTTATTTTGTGCACATAAATAGTTGTTTTGTGTGCATTTGGGTTATTTTGTGCACATAAATAGTTATTTTTGTGTGCATTTGGGTTATTTTGTGTACATACAGTAAATAGTTGTTTTGTGTGGATTTCGGTTATTTTGTGCACATAAATAGTTGTTTTGTGTGCATTTGGGTTATTTTGTGCACATAAATAGTTATTTTTGTGTGCATTTGTGTTATTTTGTGCACATGCAATAGCTTTTATTTCTGTGCACATGCAGTTGTTTTTATGAATTTGTGTTTTTATGCATTGCAGTTATGCATCACTAAAGTGCAATGCTGCAAACACACAGACACACACACACAATCACCCTCAACCCTCAAGAGTGACTCACTACACAAAAGTGAGCACGTTTGACTCAGAATTACTTAAGTTTCCTTTTTCACTTTCCGTTGCTTTGAAAGGACGTTCATATTCACCAAAGTAAAACCCGTCTGACTCACTGGAAAAAAAAAAAAAAACTGGCAGTGAGCGCCTGCCCGCCGCTTTTGTTTTCAATTGATCTACTCAGCACATTAACTGAAAATGTGAAAGTGTGGAAATAAAACTGTTCCAGCACAACACTATGAGTCCTGCTGTAGCTTGTGCTCAGGAATGATCAGCTGGACTGAAGAGCGCCGTGTGCAATATTGTGGGCGGCTTCTTTTTAATTAGAAACGAGATGGTATTGATGTTCCAGAAAGCGCCATCGTAAATCATTTATCAGCGCTGGAGTGCGTACAAAGCAGCTCATGCTGACCAGTCCTGCTTCATCTCATCCATTAACAGGATTCCCACGGTCAGCGGAAGATGCAAATATTAAGGAATTTCTAAATGTGAAAAATCGTGGTAGAAGTATACTGTATAAAGTCGATCATAAAGCATTAACATATCTATATACAGTTAAAGTCAGAATTAATAGCCCCTCTTTGAATTTTCTTTTCTTTTTTAAATATTTCCAACGTGATGTTTAACAGAGCAAGGAAAGGTTCACAGTATGTCTGATAATATTTTTTCTTCTGTGGAAAGTCTTATTTGTTGTATTTCAGTTAGAATAAAAGCAGTTTTTTATTTTTTAAAAGCCATTTTACTGACAAAATTAATTACCACTTTAAGCAAATTTTCCCCGATAGTCTATTGAACAAACCAACATTATACAGTAACTTGCCTAATTACCCTAACCTGCCTAGTTAACCTAATTTACTGTCAATTAATTTAATATTATTATGTGTCTTCATGGCGATGTATATATATATATATATATATATATATATATATATATATATATATATATATATATATATATATATATATATATATATATATATATATATATATAGATATATATACAGAGGGGCTAATAATTTTGATATATATATATATATATATATATATATATATATATATATATATATATATATATATATAT